TCGATTTCCAAGATCCCCGTGCAAAAACAGCTCTGTTCACTTCCTCTGCCTGGGTATGTGCAGCTTGCATGGCTTACATGAACAAACATGCGAACCCAACTGTCGGTTCGTCAAGCGACATACCTCCGCTTCCTGTATGTTGACATCTTCGTGTGTATAATGCTTGTGTTACTAACCAGTGCAAGTACTGTGCGGTGTGCGATTTGAAGTGACCGACACTTTCTTGAATGGCCCTCGTAAGTAGAAGAGGGTTTTGGGGTATATTCTACCTTAACGATAATAGGGAACCCCCCCTCCCCCCCCGCAATACTGCTGATGGACAAAATCCGGCATTACCCATTATAAGGAATATACTATAGTTCCCATAGTTTAGAGTCTTTAGGGTCATGCAGGATTTTGTCCATCGACAGCAACATTTTTTTGATTTTTGGCTGGACTCGGAGCCCAGGGAGGGGTCGGCAGGAGTTTTCTTCTCGATGAGACGGCCATCCACCCGTCTTCATTCCGAGAGCCGTAAGAAATTGAAAACTATAGGGGCCTTGATAATTACCTATATATACGATTTTGGGGGTTCCTAATTATCAATAATTTGAGTATAATGGGCCCCAAAACCCTATTCCAATGATTAAGGCACCTAGTTTGACCTCTCAACGAAGCAGGTGCATTTGAGAGAGTACAGGGAGCACCTGGTTCTCGAACTCCGGACGGCCTTACAAAGAGAAGTCAATGAGGCAGGGGCCTCGAAACTCCCTGTGCGATGAGGTTCCATATTCAACGATTCGGACGTTCGTGATTTGGGGTTCAGGGGTTTAGGTTTAGGATGTTCGGGGGTTTAGTTTAGTATCTGTTTCGATCATTCAGGGTTTCGGGTTCAGGAGTGTAGGATTTAGGGATTAGCGTGAAGGTTTCTCGAACCGGACCATTGTTCTCGGAATGGGCGAGGTCGTATTCGCAAGAAGCGGCAGAAGCGCAAGGTGAGGACAAGTAGACAGAAACCAGCCAAGATATGCCAAAATCTCGAGCAAAGTTGGGACCGGCCTGTCACCGCCCAGGCTACAGCTGAGCTCAAGGCGACTGCCAACGAGCTGCGTACACTTTGCGGAGAACCCAGATGGCTTGCTTTGAAAAGCTGGGTGAATGCTTGCCTTCTTAATATCGTTAACAATGGTGGCGTCATAGTGGGATTGATCAATCCAGTTGCAGCTGCGTGTAGTGCCTGGGCAACGGGCGTCGGTCGCAATTCAGGCTTGTGTGGGTTCAGAAGCTTGACTTGTGGGCTTTGGGATCATGGGGTTTACATAGCCGGGAACATCAAGTAAGTAAGAGCATTGCAACAGGAGCAGAAGACTAGCCTTAAGCACGACAAAAGCCAGATCGTGATCGCGGCACTGCCCACAGCGAAGCAGGATGACAGCGATGCTGGCGAAAGGATGAGAAACATGCCTGCAATACGTGCAGGCATAGGGTATGATATGGCTAGGACGATGATGATGAGGATCATGAGGGTGATGCTGAGCCTGGTGATAATGGTGTTGATGATGATGACGATGATGATGATGATGATGATGATCTCCTTGCCGTCTGCAAGGAAGGTGGTGGCCCTGGTTGGTCCTATTGGTGTTGTGTTGAGGGTCACGTTCGACGAGCTCACAGTTGAGGATGCTGACGCCGGCAAGCGACCTACTATATTATAGGGACCTTGATAATATTCACCAATACTATTTTTTGGGGGGGTCCTCATTATACTTACAGTATGATGGGCCACAAAACCCTGTTCTAGTTATTAAGGCCCCCATATTACAGTAGCCTTATAGGTCCCTTATAGTAACCCGTCAAGGACCCTTAAAAGGAACATGATTCTAAGTATTCAGGCCCTGACATTATTCATAAGTCATCCAGGTCGGCCGACGCAGTCACCGTCTGCCGATGCCACAGGTCTGCTGGAAAATCTGCGGGGACCTGAGTCACATACCCTAAGGCTCCATCTTTTAGTATATACTTAGTCCTTAAAGTACCTATATAGGGACCCCTTTAAGGATTAAGTATCTACTATAATGGTACATGGAGCCTTTGGGACAGCTGTACGGTTTCGAAGCGGTAACGAGTGCATGGATGAATGCTGGCCCGCAGGCACATGTGCTGCATGCCAGCACAATCTTGCTGAAAGGTAGGTGGTCGTCCCAGCACCTAAAGTGCTTTGAGACGATGCCGAACGGTGGCCGCCGTCGCAACGCCCAGTGGAGACCAAAGCCCAAACCCACCACGACAAGCATCATAGTTGTGACGCAAAGTAGAACTGGAATCCGACGGCTGTGATGGTGACGTGTCTAGGCAGTGGCATGTCAACTGTCCCTGCCTATCTTGCACGTGGCAGGTTTCGCATCCATGATCAAGATGTGCTGGTGTTCGGAAGGACAAAACTAAACCCCCAAGCTGGTTTTGTCTAGGGCCTAGGCTCCATAACATGAAGCCCTATATGACCGTCATCGGGGGACCCCACACACAAAGAGTGTTTTGGGGTTTCTGGGCCCGCCATTCAGGACAATTGTCTTAAGCCTTAACCGCATGACCTGCAGCAAACTGGATCTTCCCTACTGCCTCCGGAGGTGTTGTAAAGCTCGTAGCCTTGCACAAACCTACAGGTGTGCACCATGTCTGTCGGAAGCCAAGGTTCGCACAGCGCTGCCCTTCCTCCAAGGCGCAGGGAGCAGGGGGCTCTGCCAGCAGCACCAGACAACTCGTCGCCACCCGAGCCCTATCCGTTGACTTTGACCCTATGTCGTGGACTCGACGGGCAGCAGTAGTAGTAGTAGTAGCAGTAGTAGCAGCAGCAGCAGCATGCCACCGCCCCTAACACGCCACCACCACCAGGACCAGCACCAGGGCCAGGACTACGACAACGACTACCACCACCGCCATGACGACGACAACGACTACTGCTACTGCTGCTGCTACAACTACAACTACAAGTACAACAGCTACTCCTACTACTACTACTACTACTACTACTACTACTACTACTACTACTACTACTACTACTACTACTACTACTACTACTACTACTACTACTACTACGACTACTACTACTACTACTACTACTACTACTACTACTACTACTACGTACTACTACTACTACTACTACTACTACTACTACTACTACTACTACTACTACTACTACTACTACTACTACTACTATACTATACTACTACTACTACTACTACTACTACTACTACTACTACTACTACTACTACTACTACTACTACTACTACTACTACTACTGCTACTGCTACTGCTACTGATACTGCTACTGCTACTGCTACTGCTACTGCTACTGCTACTGCTACTGCTACTGCTACTGCTACTGCTGCTGCTGCTACTACTACTACTACTACTACTACTACTACTACTACCACTACCTACCACTACCTACCACTGTACCCGTGGTGTTTGTAATTGCAGCGAGATCTTCTTGGTCCAGGCGCAGCCTGCAGGCAGCGAAGAGTCGCGCCCAATTCTTCATCCCAGCTCGTGCCTCAATGCCTAGGGTTGATAAGGCTGATGGCAGGTTTATCGTTTTTAGGGTTCGGGGCCGGAGTCTATGGCATAGAGTTGGAGATTGGAGTTTGCGAGTTCAGGCTAAAAAATGGTGCATCGCTTCCGTTGTTTTCCGAATCGGGATGTTGTTTTAAGACTCTATCTCTTTCTCCATGTGTGCTAGTAACGCTAGCAGATATCCCTATGCGAAGTTGCCTGCCGATTGCTTCTCAGAATTTCTCAGCAGGCATCCGTAGCCATTTCAGGCATCTGACAACAGTCGGACATGGAGCGCCCGACTATTGGGGTCTGATTTGTTGAGTAGTCGTCCCCTAAAGTGCATACGTTATAGTACAGTTGTATGATATAGTACCCCACAAGCCTATCCTGATATTTGCTCCAGATGAAAGCCCCACACCGCATTAAAGATTAAAGCTCGGGCACTTCACTGGGCTCCCAGGGTGCAATGAAGGTAGGTGGGGCCCAAGAAAAAGCCCTTGCACTGCATGAGGGATCCTTAGTCCTACCAACCGTCATCCCAGCGTTTAAGGCCCTTCCAGTGATGCTGAGGCCCTGCATCGGTCTGCTCCAGGCGCCCCAGTGCAGCCAGCGAGGCCTGCGACCGCATTCGTTGTCATGATGAAAGAGACTTTGGGCTTCTACTCTAAAAACCAACTACTACCATGATGGTACTGCCATGGACTATGTTGAAACTCTCAGTCATTATGATCACGAGCTACGCTTGCTCAGAATAGTTAATAGTCAGTCACATGAGGCCATGCAGAACCGCAATTGCAGGGCTGGTCGTTCAAGCAAGCCTGGCTACGTGTGTGGCGAAAACAAGTGTGGATGATCCATTTTTGCTCAAGCTTTTGATATTGAACCGAGCGTAATCCCACGTCTTTCGGTGCCACCTGCATTGAAGTTAAAAGTCATGCGAGAATGGCATACACAAGTTGTAAGGCTGAGTTAACGGAAATCCATAATATAGGGGTTGGAGCAACTACCAATAACGTTCCCAATAGTCCGTTATAGCTGTACCACAAAATCGTGAAAGACACCGTTGTGATTGTTAAGGCCCCTTCATTGCATTTTGGGTTTCAGGACAGCTGCGGACGAAGGTAGAAAGGTAGAACTATCGCAAATCATGAATGGAGTTATCCAATAGTTCTCCACAGCCTTCCAAAGCAAGCAGACACCACCAAAGATTGGAAGTGTAGAGTTAGATATGGCCGTGCCACACCATGCTGCTGCCATTCTTGGTGGGCCACTCCGCCCCTGCATCAGTGCTACAACACCTACTGCCAGGATTCGCGAATGTCAGCCTACCCTCAGGTAGCCATGGTAGCCACCATGGTTACCATCAGCTCTATGGGACAGAGAACTTGCATGGGAATTTGCTGTTCAAGTTGTTACAGCCAGGGGGCAGCTTGCAGAATCTTTGTCTCGTGCCCCTTCTCATCGTCATGAACTTACTCGTTGCGCTGCTGATGCAGTGCATCGCCAGACGGACGCGCATTCAAGCTGCTGGTCCACGGAACGAACAGAAGCCGGAGGAAAGATTTTCAGCGGTGGCAGCATTCCTCCGGGACTTCGCCGGTATTCAGTCCGTGTACAACATAGCCAAAGGCTGGCTGACACACGATGCATACAGGTGTGTGTCGACCAGCCTTTGCCTGCTTACAATCGCTCACTGGTTTCTCAGGGAGTGGACGTATGCACAGCTCCTATCCTCTTTGACGGCCGATCTGACCAATGCTATCGTTGCTGTACGGAGCACGAGAGAATCTTGACACGTTTGCTGAACTATTTCTTGATTATGGGTTGCTGTTTATGCAGTTGGCAAATTCGGGGGAAGCAGGTGTACGGGGAGATTGCCTTCTAATTAAGAACCAAGAAGATGAAGCCAAACAGTTTGTAAAGCTAGAAGAATATAGCTTCCAATCTTGGGAACTGAACTTCGAGTAGCGACTCAGGCACATCAACATGTAACACATATGAGCCCCCACTTTCCCTTGGACTCTCTCTGCGGGTTGCGTGAGCGGCACTCCAGCAGTTCAGGATATGTTATCTATAGGCTGATCAGCGAGCATTTGAACGAATGAACAACAGAGGAATGGATGCATAGATGAAGGCACGGAATCTGACTGACGGGAACGGTCCAATCAAAGGGAATGAGCAAACAGATGAAGCAATCAAGTTACTCGAGCATGGGTCTTTCAGTCAAGTTGTTCAGTACTTCACGAACTGACTCACCAGAGAATTGACTGTCTGTCAAGTCTGCGCAACATATAAAACAAGTTCCACAGTGCAGAGTAGCAAAATCTGCCTTTCCGATGTCATGACTTTATGCGTATCTTTGCTATTGCATTATGTTGTTGTATGTGTAATTACTGCCTGGTGATACATGACAAGATGTTCCATCATCACAAGCCTGTTTGGAATACTGCGCGAATAAGAGCGGGTCTTATTTGCAGCACCAGCTTAGGATCTTTCCTTGGTTTACAGCCGCCTCTTCTCCATGCTGGCCTGGCAAATCGCCACAGCGCCCCTGTTTCTCATCTTGGCCGCTGGGTTTCAACTGTTGTGGTTTTCGAAGGGTAGTGTGGAATCAAACCATCTAGAGTGTTGTGCAGAGTTTCTCAACCCCGCTGCACATAACCCGGGAGTAAACTTATCGACAATCCAATTCATGTTTGGTTCCGTCCCCTTCACTGCTGGTTTCTTGCTGCCAGTGGTAAGTTAAGGATCCGATGATCCAAGCGTCGCGCAGAAGCACTGAGTCTTTGGAGCGTGTACTACAATATGCCTGCATGTGCATGTTTGTTCGTGTACCTGAGTAGCATCGCACCGATGTGAGCGCATGACCTGTACGTCTATGTGTGCATAGAGACAGATATATATATATATATATATATATATATATATATGTACAGATATGGATATGGATACGGACACAGGTATGTGCATAGATATAGATATAGATTCTACATGTATGTATATATATATATATATATATATATACATATATAGGTATGCACATGCATACATGCCTATGTACGTACATTCTTGCTTACACACGTACATGTACATATGTATATACATATGTATATACATATGTATATACATGTACATACATATGTGCATATATATATATATATATATACACATGTATTTTCACATATGTACAGTTACATGCTTACATGTGCATACATACATATACCTATGTGTATATGTATCAAATGTATCTGTATACAGATAGATATGTATATAGATAGGCAGACAGGTAGATAAGACAGATAGATAGATGGGTGGATAGATACATAGAGAGATATGTAGATAGACAGATAGGTAGATAGATAGATAGATAGGTGGATAGGTAGGTAGGTAGGTAGGTAGATAGGTAGGTAGGTAGACAGCTAGATAGACAGACATAGGGAGAGAGAGAGAGCGAGAGAGAGAGATATATATATATATATACATACACACCTATATATATATATATATATATATATACGTTTATTTGTCTATATACACACATACATACATACATACATACATACATACATACATACATACATAGATACATACGTACGCATGAGTGCATGCAGGCATGAATTCAAAAAAGCTACCTGCGCCAGTACTCATGACCCTGTGGCTCGCCGACACTCAGGTGGTTTGCATCGTCGCTTCAGAGTCCCTCGAAGCAGATCTTGGTTTTGGCTTTCGGGGTTCACGGCTTCTGAATTTGCTGGTTTCCCATGTTCAAGGTTTAAGGGCTTCTTCCAGGAAACCAGCCCGAGCTGAGGCTACATCACCAACTCGATGCTCCAGTCCTACGTCTCAGGCCTAAGCAAGTCGTTGCGTTCATTCTTACAGCTCGCAAAAGCCTGCAGTGTTGAACAGGCGGAGGTCAGGCATACTACAAGCTGAAGATGGATGACGAGGTGCCTGGTACTCATTCAAGGTCTCCATATCGTCCGTCATATGTCCCAACCCTAAACCCTTGCCCTCGGTGCCCTCAACTCCCTGCTGCTGGGCTGAACTGAGAAGCGGGATCTCGACAACCCGGATCAGCGCATCAGCGAGTCTGCAGAGCAGTTCCTCGGGAGCAACCATGTGGCCGTTTAGGGCGTTTCAAGGAGCCCCAAACCCGCCAGTCGCGGCAATAAGCCACCGACAAAAACGGTCTCAAGTTCATATTGTCCAAGACATTCTCCGCAATGTAGTGCTTTCCGGGTTTTCTGATACATGAGAGCTCCGTCTGCAATCCTGAAAACAGGGCAGTCTTTTCAACCCCAGACCATACTATACTACTACGTCACAAACAGCCTTGAACCACTGTACACAGGCTGTCGTGGTAAGACTCAAAACTGCAAAGTCCCTGGAAGCCTTATCAACCTGAAATCCGGTCAGCCATAGAACCGTATATACCGTATACCCTCATAGAGCCTAATCCCCTCCCCCCTCTTGAAGGTTTGCTTTCCTCATGTACGTGCTCTTCTCCGGATTCCTCTCTGCCGTGCGGCTCTCCTTCACTTGGTGAAGGGTTGAATGGCTGTGGTTAGCAGTCAGCGTAGAACCGAAAGCCTTTACCCTAAGCCCGGTTGACGGCCCCACATCTGAACCCAAAAAGTCATGGTGGAGGGCTGGACAATCCTTTGGGTGGTATCTGCCCGGGTGAATACCGAAATCCTGTAGAATGATAAGGGTCTTCCGAAACAAGCGGTTTATGTGTTGAGGTCCGTTGTATACTAGAAGCTCCCATATGGCCTGGCTAGGCTTATATAACTACATCTTTCTCTACGAAGTCTTGAATGACGGGTGTGTGATTGCAAGTCCATGTGCTTGGATCTGTGATGCGAGGTTCGGAATGCTGGCATGGGCTGGAGCCTGGGGCCCAGGCACAAGAGAAGGTCTCACAAGCCTCTCCAACTCATCCATTGTGGAGGCCAATCCGTGACGTACAGTTCAAGACTGTAGGGTTGGTATCATTGCTGTTACTCTTCACTAGTACATGTGATTAATCTGATCAGCTGTGTCTGGCCATCAAGCAAGGTCATGATCCAGCTGGGCGGCTATGCCCTCCTGGCGACCTGTATGGGGATGGCATGTTTACGGCTGATGCTCTCCATCAGTCACTTGGTGCGACATACCTCGTCTGGTTTCGCCAATGTATGGACGGGAAGAGCCAAGTGGACTTCTGCGTACCGAGCCCCACGCAACAACAAAGTTTAATGGCACAACAATTTCGAAGGCGCATGTTTGCAATGTTGTGGGTTAGTGATTAGTAAGTAATAAGAACATTGCAAGTTGACGAAGTCCGGGAATCAGCTTCAGGGCTCCAGCCAGCACCAGTCTTAGTACGCTTGCAACACTTGTTTCTTCTGCACTCGTGATTCAGCTGCAGCGAACCGAAGCCAGTCAGACGAAGAAATGAGCACTGCCACTCCCTCAGCATGCTTGACTATTTCGAATACAACAAACCCCCCCCCCTCTCCACAGCCCTGTGGTGAGGATTTAGGCCCAATCAGGCTTTATGCCAAACCCCAAGACTCAGCCCAAGACGTGTTTGGCTTCAAGCCCCCATGAGCATACTTTGCATCATCCCCAGGTCTGTTCGGGAATGCCTTGGTGGATGCCTTCAAGGATCAGCTTGAGACAGGCTCGATCTCGGCGTAGAGCGATGTTCGACAATGCATCCTTGAGCAGAGTTGCAGTGTAAAACACACACACACACACATCACGTGAATGCTGTTTTGTCCGCAATTATATTTTTGCATGTGTAAGGTGGTCATAGGTAGTGTGGAATATGTAGAACATCGTAGTAGATGAGCTGCATTAAACAGGGTATACAAAGCTACAAAGGCTTCCTAATCGGTATCGAATGTATTTTCCTATCAGTTTGGTCGACGGTTCAGGTGTTGAGAGTTGATCCTAAACCCTCAATCCCGAAACCCTCCTACACACTCCTTCGCACGAGGTGCCACCTTTCGCTATTCTCTGGCCCGGCTGCGCCTGCTTCCCAGCACAGCTTCAAAGAACAGAGCCTGACACGATACTGCTGTGATATGCTGTGATACTATACTTGACGATACAATACTATACTGCAATGTGAAATGATATGGTGTGACATGATCTATGATATGATACAGCTTAATACACGGAGTATAGCCCTCCGTCACCAAAGGCGAGCATGCAGAACCTGTGGCTCTTGCACACGGAGATCAGGTGGCCATCGTGAAAAATGTCATGATCATAATAGGGGCCTTAACGATTACCTACACTATTTTGGGGGTTCCTTACTATAGTTGTAGTACAGTGGGACCCAAAACCCTATTCGAACTATTAAGGCCCCGAAAAGGGGAAACCCTGCCGAACCCTTGTCTGATTCAGACTGTTTTCTCGGGTAATGCCCGGCCAAAGCCCCTATAATATCAAAGATGCAAGATGTGGGCAGTCTAGTCAAGGGCGAAATCTCAGCTTCCAATCTGCGGCCCCTAAGCCCTAAACCCCTAAACCCCTAAACCCTAAACCCTAAACCCTAAACCCCTAAACCCTAAACCCTAAACCCCTAAACCCCTAAACCCCTACACAACTAAACCCTAAACCGGATCCCGGGAGGTTGAAGCTGCCCGCTCAAGGCACCATTTCAACTCCCACATCGATGCGGGAGCCCGAGTGTGTGCTAGCTTTGCATGGAGAGGCAACAGAGTCTTGGTTCGAGCCGCTGCTTCTGACCGCGGTCTGCAGGCATTCAGATACAATGCTGCCTGGCTTTAACGAGTTGCGCCTGCTTCAGCAACGGGTCCTGGGAGCCGGGAGAGGAAAGGTCAGTCTGCTGCGGACCTGCAACTTGTATGTACTTCAATGCAAGAGGCCTGACTGCTCTATTACCCCATTGTTTGTGGAGCCTCCAGGCGTTCATCAGCATGCTGTTTTCGACGACGCTGGGTATCGTTGACTTCTTTCCCGTCGTGCCCCAGCTTGCGATGGTGAGTTTCTGATTTTAAGCCCGCAGCGGTGAATTGCTGTCGAACGGTTGATGATATAAATCCTGCATTACCTTAAGGACCCTAAACTATGGGAAGTATGGTATATTCCTTATTATGGGTAGTGCAGGATTTATATCATCAACCGAATCACCCTAGCCTTACCATGCTTTGAAGCGGCCCCAGCCAACTCTTCACCCTAGAGCCCCTTCAAACAGGCCCAACATCCTCCCGCTGTGGTAGTACTTTGCGAGGTCATCCTTTGGCTGTACCAGGTTCCGCAGATCGAAGCAGGCAGGAATGGGATGTAATACTGAAATCCTGACATGCAAGAAATCTCGTGCGTATAGAAATAGCCATCCTGGCCGCACTGACAACCATTATGATGATTTTCGCAGATGCTTGCGAACGCGAACTGAGATAAGATTCGTCGTGGGTCCTGGGCCCTGCAGCTGCGGCTGAGAAAATGGGCCCGCGTGTTACGGCATAACGACTAACGAGCTCTATAGGCTAAACGGCTCAAACCCTAAGCCCAAGCCTGCCCCTAAACCCAAAACCCGAATCCTTAAAACCCTAAGCCCAACCTTGCCCGACAAGCAGGAGCCCTGAACTTTGGCGACGCCCTGCGGTGCCAGACTGGATACATGCAGGTGGCCAAGGCTCAATCGGGTCGAGGGTGTAGCGTTTAGGGTTTCTGGTTTAGGGTTTAGGGTCGTATCAGTATCAAAAGTGTAGAAACCTGATTAAGAAACCCTGTCCCTATATAGGATTCATACAGGCCCAAGGTTTCTTAATCAGGTTCCTACATTATAGGGATTCTCTTTAGGGCCTCTTTGGCTTGGGCTAGGGGTCATATGGGAGTTTCCGAAAATTTGGGGAACCTTATTTTGGGGTCCTTATTAATAAGATCCTGCTATTTAGGGTACTATATTAGGCTTACTCTCGGAAACTCCCATATCATAGTAGGCTTCTCATACAAGTTGGGCTTCGGATTTCCGCCCAGCGGCATCCCTGCGAAGTACAGGTGATGGACTTCTTGGCAAACTCCTACGCCAAGCTGAAGCAGCTGCGGCTTGGCTGCTCGTTAGAGGGGATATAACCCCTAAACCTCTAAACCCCTGAACCCTAGCATTACTTGAAAGGCGGAAAAGAGGCGACAACCAAAAAGTTAACCCTAAGCATGAGAATGCACGACTGGGCATGTCTAGTGTTCCTTCGAATGCGGATGAAATGCCCCTCAGCTCTCTGTCTTTACTGCAGATGCAGAGCATAATTTTCTCAGGAGTTGAAAAAGTACGGTGCGCCACTGCAGACCCCCGCAGCAGACCTTTAAGAAAGGACACCCAACCATGGGCTTCTGATTGCCTGCAGACTCCAATATCGCTTAATTAAGGAATATACCGCCTTCAATCATGTTAGGGATCCGAATGTAATTTGAGGCATATCACCTTAATTAAAGGTAATTGGGAGTTCCTCGGAAACCGAGGCAGGCGAATGGGGAGCGGCTGTGGCAGCTCTGGGAAGCCGCTGATGAGGCCAGGAAGGAAGAAAGCGAACCCTAAACCCCTAAACCCCATAGTGGCTCTAAACAGGAGTTTAGGTCTTGCGGGTTGTTTCATTCTTTTGGGATTAAGGGTTTTGTTTAGGGCGTACGACTTGGGGCTTAGAATCGCTAGAAGGACAGACATAGTAGGAACAACAGCAAAACAGCATTAGCAGCTGTGTACAGCTGAGAATGATGAGTATCAAGCATGTAGTGACTAATGTAGTACTGATGCGGAAGAGGCTGCGAACAACAAGGAAGGCAGCACCAGCAACAAGCATAATCACGTGAAGTGGCAATGGGAACCTGGCATAAATCCGTTGGGATCCCTAAGCCCTGAAACCTAGGTTCTGAAGCACTGCAGCCCCCAACACCCAAAGCCTAAACCTCAAACCCTAAACGCTAAACCCTAAACCCATCTAAACCCTAAACCCCCTAACCTTACAGCCCCTATCTCCCTAAGCGAGAAGCTGTGCACCTCCCTAAATGGCCCCTTTCTCGGACCCTAATTTTAAGGTCAACGAGGAGCCGCCCGCAGACTCGGTAATCGACTTCGCTGCCTGCGAACTTCGGAGTCGAGTATAGGGGCCATGGAATGTTGGGGGGGTATCATTTAGGGCTTCGGGTTTAGGGGTTTGGGGTTTAGGGTGGGGGTATCATTTAGGACTTAGGGTTTATGTGTTGGTGTAGAATTCAATAAATAAAAAGGGTGTGGAGCTTGCACATGTAGGCTTTAGCTTGGGGTTGAATGCTAGATTTCTGGCGGATCTGGCGGTGACAGTATATGTTTCATAGTTGTGCGCTGTGTTTAGCTGTAACGTGCAGTTATAGTACCCAGGGTGGTGCTTCGAGCTTCATGTGGACCTGAGGACACAGACGTGGCTTTTGCCTTTACCTCACTCTTCGTCTTCACACCTGGTGGCACCACAGCTGTCGGTGGAGCCACTTTGCTCGGTTTTGGCAGAGTGGATCTGTGTCCGACATTTGGCCTTGATAGGTGCGAGCCATCTTGACTGTTGCTACTTTGCTATCGTTGTAGCACAAGTATTACTACCGTGTGTTCTCTGCCATTGCCACCTCACTTACGTATTTGTTATGATTAAACATGGCGACAGCAGCCAGAAGTTGCAATTGTCAGAAGCAATGATGCGACTTCAACTTACCATGCCTTTGCCACACATTTCATCCAAGGTCAGCCTTGCATGCGAAGCTGGGAAAGGCAGCAAAGTTGTCGCATCCATCTAACATCTTCCTGGGAAGGAACCCTCTACCGTAAACCCTTTCGCAGAGTGTGAGTGTGTGTGTGGGGGGGGGTCAACACGGCGTGCCCTCAAGTAGGCATCGATTTACCCTAAAGTACGGACATTTGGTCCTGATGAGGGTCACATTTGTTGCGACATTCGCTCAACTACATGCAGTTGGGCTGTGGTGTTCTCCATGCAGTGCTCGTGAAAAGGTTCGACAGCGACACTGCATGAAAGCCTGGCAGAATCAGAATCCCAATACCCTCGATCTCCGAAACTTAAAACCCTAAGCCGGTAAAAACCTAAAACCCTAAACCTTGAGGCCCTAGACACCAAACCCCTCTGCCCTGGCAAGGCCTGCTGATCACCGGAGGATCAGGCCATCCCAGAAACTCCAACATCCCTTAATTCAGGAATATACCTTAAATCATATTAGGGATCCTACTTTTGCTTAATTAAGGGAAATTCAGGAATATACCTTAAATCATATTAGGGATCCTACTTTTCCTTAATTACGGGATATTGGAGTCTCTGGGAGTTGCTTGTGTGAGCGTGGCTCCGTCTTGAGCTCCGGAGGTTTTTTCTGGTCGCAGCTTCGACGGTGAGAAATCCGAGACTTTCCCAAACCAAAAACCCCCAACACCAAGCCGTTAATTAAAAGCCACGGAAACCCAATGACCCCCTTCCGTCATATGGGGGCCTTGCTAAGGGTATATTATATTTAGTTAATTAATTATAAGAAGGAGCCCCAAAACCCTCAATCCCTCACAGAGCCCTGCTGCCCTTGTAGTATCCCTAAGGGAACCTTATTCCTAACTATTCAGGCCCCTATATCCCTAAATCCCTTATAGAGTCGTTATAGTATCACGTAAAGGAACCCTTTAAAGAAACCCTATTTCTAGCTATTAAGCCCCCTATACCCCTAAATATCCCCTAAAAGAATCCCTAAATATCCCTTAAAGGACCCCTTTAAGGAATCCTATTCTACTCGGTAGTATAGTCCCTTTATAATCCCTTCTTTACCCACAAGGTTAACCTGTAGTTCCCCATGATACCCGACAAGTAGGCGGGCCCCTTCTTATCCTAGCAATTAAGGTCCCTCTGGTATATTGCACTTAATTTAATAGGGTTTAGGGCTTAGGGTTATGAGCCCCCAAAACCACATTCTGCTCAATTCGGGCCCCTTCTGTAGGCATCGGGAAGTCATCCATCCTCCGAGCTTTGGTTGGTCTCTGGTCCGCAGGGGAGGCCTCTTGGCAGTGGATTTTAGAAGGACCCTTTGGGCGGGGTTAGGGGGCCTTAATACCGAAGATAAGGACTTCATGAGGCCTATTGAAAATAAGGATTTCATAAGGCCTATTGATAATAAAGACTTCATAAGGCCTATTGACAATAAGGACTTCATAAGGCCTATTTAAGGAAGTATCGTCCCCTACCCCCCTAAGATTACCTGATGATTAGGGCCTGAAAGTCCCGGCCTTCTGTGCCGCAAAGATGTCTTTTAAGGGCTGTGGGAGGTTTTTGGGGTTTAGGGGTTTAGGGTTTAGGGTTTAGGGTTTGGGGTTTTGGGGTTTTGGGGTTTAGGGTTGAGGTTGAGGGTTTTCAAGTTTTGGGTTTAGGGTTTAAGGTTAGGGTTTGGGGATTAGGTTTTACGGATTGGGCCTAGACCGACAAGGGAATTATAGGCAGGGGGCTCGGGGCTTCTGATTTGCTTCCTAGACGCAAAGAAGCCTGAACCCGAAACCGGCCTCAACCCTAAGCCCTGAACCCCTAAACCCCTAAACCCTAAACCCCTAAACCCCGGACCCTGTCAATGCTAAACCTTGAGATCTAAGGGAGTCGTCGAGAAATCTCCTGGGGCTGAAGTGATCTTCCTGCCCCAGCGAGTTGGCTGCACGTATGGAGCGCGCTATCTCGCCTGGGTTTAGAGTTTAGGGTTTAGGAATGTTAAGGGTCAGCGGTTGAGAGTTTAGGGTTCTTTGGTGTAGGAGTTTAGGGTTCAGGGTCTTAGGTTTTGTTTAGGGTTTAGGGTTCAGGTTTTTGGGGTTCAGTGTTTAGGGTTGTAGGTGTGAAAAGTGTGAATGTGGGTGGGGGGGTTTGGCAGAGCAGCCTGAAATGTTCTACTACCCCAACATGTTATTCCAATTGTCGAGGCCCTTGTATTCGGGATTAAGGCCCTGCTGGATATTGTGTCATTCTCATGCCCTTAAAGTTATGTGCTACTCGGGCGGCTACTAGACTACTTTGCTCGCCCACTCAGGAATTCCTATTTCCCTGTCGGGACCCTGCTGGAGGCTGGTTGAACTACGCACGCATTCTACGACGCCTACGTACCTACGCGAACGCCGAGTCTAATGTGCAGGGTTTGAGAGTGCAGTTGGATCGATATTGACAGAAGCAAACTGATGAGAGAAGGCCGTGATCTATCCTGCTCAGCTCACATCCTTTGGATGGGCGGAGAGGACCGCCACCCTTGCAACCTGTCGATGCATCTTCAATCCCTGTTAACGGTTAACGTTTCAAATTATGTCGACTCTTGTGCCGGCCTGGCCGACCCTAAGCCTTCACCAGAAGCCCGACGTTGAACCCTGAGCACAACAACCCCTCGGACACTGAACCGCACCTTCACCTCAAAGCCCTAAAGCCGAAACCCAGATGCTTCGCAACTTTTCCCGAACCATAAATGCCTGCGGCCCAGACAAACCGACTCCCTGTGCAAAGCCTGAAGTCCAGACTTCCAAGACATCCTATGACCCTCCCTTCGGGCCCTTCCCTGATCTTTTTGAAAGGAGCGGTCTCGAAGAGCAGGCCACTCGCGCTTTGAAGTGCCCCAGCCGAACTGACATCGGGCCTTCCTGAACTGATTCAGAAGAGCGGCTCATTTGTAGATGGGAGTTTCCGAAAATAGGAGACCCGAATATAGTACCCTAAATCGTAGGATCCTCATTATAAGGATTCCAAAATGAGATACCCGAAAATGTTCGGAAACTCCCAGATAATTCCTACATACATCGCCATTTCCCATGCTGCTACAGCAGCCGCCGTTATTCCCTGGACCCTGCCTATAGGCTCCACAGTAGGCCTTTTTTGGGATTACCTCATAGGATTCTTAATAAGAACCACAAAAAGGAACTACTACCTGGACCCCAAAAGTATGTAGAATAATGGCCTTTTCATTGGTTTTGGGCCATTTTTGGGGGGTCTAGGTATGGGTCCCTAAACCCTAAACCCTAAACCCTAAGCCTGTGGGTGGAGCCTCAAAGCCTGATGCCAACTTACGGCCCGAGGCGCGCGCTGCTGCAGCCTCTCCTGCGCAGGTGGGGTTTCCAGGAGATCCGAGCCCGAGACGAGAAAGGGGTCTATATGGGATCTATAGTAGGGGTTCTATAATATGTCTATATATGTATGTATGTATGTATATATAAATATACATATATATATATATATAAGGGGTCTAAATTAGAGTAGGGGCTCCTTTCAAGGGGTCTATAAGGGTTACAATAATGATGAGGGATCTATAAGGGCACTATAATGTCACCATAGGGCCTTAATAATTAGAATGGGGATTCCTTTAAAGGGATCTTTAAAGGGGTTTGTAAGGGATCATATAGTAGGGTTCTAGAATATAGGGTGCCTTAATAATTAGAAGAGGGCTTTGGGGGTCCCCTATTATATCATAACCCAAAACCCCAATTATTCTAATTGTTCAGGCCACTTTTGTAGCGGCGGAAGGTGTGATAAGTGGGCAAGATGTGCGATGAAGGGTTCTTGGATTTCTACAAGGGCCTTTTCAGCCACTATAAGGGTTCCTGATGCTGTCGGGGATCTTTCTTCAACGGTTCCTACAGGTTTTCGGGTTTCTACAAGGGCGCTTTCAGCCCCTTTGGGGGGAGTGCCCGATATTCGCACCACCGGGCCTGGCCAGAGCATGGAGCGTCCCCTGCGCTGTGCCGGCACTGCGACCAAGGATCGTCTTGTTTGGCAGGTCTCTCGGCAGCGGTGCCAAGCTGAGTTCCGTCTGATACTGCGAGAGATCGGCAGAGCTCGCACTTTTCACATCTAAAGAAGCATGGCTGGGTGCTGTAGGTTTCAATGCCTGATGATAGCTCTTCCACCCACTTCCAAACGCACTCTTTACAAAGGGCAGCCCACATTTCGCATCTTCACTCGCCGCCTGGGCCCGAAGCAAACTCAGCACTTCAAAAGCCAAGAGGGTGCTTGGTTTGAGCTTTGGTTCTCTCCCCACGTGGGCAAGATGGTGCTGCTTGCCGGCGTCAAGTCAGCCGTTTTGGGCCAGCTGGGCTTCAGCCCTTGGGGGTTCCGTTGCTTGGACATGTCTGGAAAAAGTCTAGACTCCTAAGCCCCTCTTATAAACCTCCAAAACCCGAACTCCTGCAATGCGGCAGCGTGGTGGGGGAAGGGCCCGAAAGGGGAAGCGCTACGCAGAGTCGCGAGCGAGGTTGGATTTGCACTGATCGCCTGGGTGACCTCTCCGGCCTCTCCTATCACGTCCAACGGAAGAGATGCAGACAGTCACGGACAGGAGCACCCTGGTTGATCCAAGTGCTTGCCCTCTTCTTGGGTTTTTAGGACCAGGAGGGGCGGGCTGCGCTTCTCCTAACTTTCCAAGGCGCAAAAGAGCCTTTTGCTTCGATGACGTCTTCATAGCGATCCGTGAAGACGAGGCTTATGATGTTTTAGGATGTTTTGGGCAGTTGAGCAGCGGCAATGTAGTGCTGCGTGCACGCTTGAACAGGTCACGGGCCAGCAGTCGGCATGCAGGGCGCCCACACGGTTCAAGCACCGCCCGTCGCATCCTCACCACATCTCTCCGGCTTGCTGTAGGGCTGTCTTGGAAAACAAGGGCCTCTTCCTATTCGAGGTCGGTAGCCACATGGTTGATGAAGCCCACAAATCAGGCGCGTGAGAGTTGCAGGATTTCCATCACTTGTGGAGCGAAGCTACGCCAGCTTCGCTTTCTTGCCTATGCTTGCCAAGTGCTTGGCGACTAGACTAGTTGTTTCACAACGGCTTCTGGTCGCGATGGCGCTGCAGGCCAAGACTGATGTTGCCGAACCTCCGCCGTCCTCTTCGAGGCTTCTGGCGAACTTGGTGTTTTTCTAGCTTTTTCGGGCTTGTTGCCAGGACAGTTGAGATCAACGGCTGCAGCTTCCATTTGACACTTGGACTGGACAATGGAGCTGTTGAGCAAGTCCGATTATTTCACGATGGTGAGCGTCAACAGCGTCAACGAGCGAAAATTGCGCGTGCTGAATTGTCCGTAATGCTGTACTTGACTGGAGTGCTTATAAGTGTCCAATTGTAGATTCATTGCAGGACAGGAGAGGCGGGCAGCGGCAACTATGGAGTTGTGTGGCGCTCACAAAGCAACAGCCTCGGTGTGGACGCCGTGGTGACCGTGGTGAAGAAAGACAGCGGAGGAAACGAATTTGAAGCAGAGGTCTTGAAGTTGGTGGGATGCTGCAGCTTGGTTTTGATCTTGCCCAGCCATGGTGCTCCCACCACCCAACAATGCATAGTACCATGACGATATTCTGCAAAAAGGCTGCGCCATGGTCGGCAAGCAGGTGTAAGAGGTAAATTGATGCATTGTGATATTGACTCTTTCGATATGCTGTGAGTTTGCGGTTTGCTCTACTTTTTTGCGGAAGGGGCCTCTGGTCGCAGTGTGAGCCACATGCCGAAGTACTTGGGCCACTGCATCGAACAATCGGATCTTTACATCGCCATGACCTACGTTCCCGGGGCACCCTGGGACAGATACTTACAAGCAGAACACAAGGTTGCCGCCCTGGAAAATGCAACCTTTTTTGTGCAGCATTTGCTCCGCCAACTTGCAGGACAGGTGTGCAGCCAGGATAGCCAAGGCATGCATGACAGCTGCCAGCATGAAGCACGTGCCTTTGTGCGAGGAGCTTTCCAGGTGCTGCACACCATCGCGTTGCATCGAGACGTATCGTCGCACAATGTCCAAGTTGCTGGGCAGGGCAGGAAGTGGTACTCGAAGTGCTTCGTACAGGTTGATGCTGCTTTCCCGACGTTTCACGGTTTCACGACATGTTGCTGCGGTTTTCAATTTGGGTATGGTTGCTTGCGGGTCATCTTGCATTTCAGCGTGGAAGCAGAGGTCCAACCTGAGGGCAATGGCGGCTGGAAGTTCACGTTGCTGGATTTTGGCACAGCCATCCCCCTAACAATGCGGTTGGAGTGTTACGAGGAGTTGTGTGGCGATGGTCACTACTGGTGTCCCGGCGCATGGTTGGCCGAGGGCTTCACATTCCGAACCTTGGACATGCCCGAGAATGCGCAGTTCAAAAGACAGTACATGGAGTACATCGACCACTATGCCGTCGGAATAGTTTGCTTGGAGAGTTTGTTCTCCTTGTGGCACGGCCGCGCAACGATGCCGGGCATGAAAGAGTTGACAACCGCGTGGAAGCGTTATTGGAGGACTGTGGAGTCCCTGTACGGCAGCCCTGGCTTCCATGAGAAAGGCCAGCCCAGCTGCAGCAGGGTTTAAGGTTGAAGGTGTTGGCGCTTCAGGAGCGGCAGGTGCATCCATTTCTAAGCAGCATCATTGACAGCAGAGCAACAGCAGGGTCATCATCCCTTGCGTCATCGCCAGCGTTGCCTTCATCACCAAAATCGTCTCATCATGATCGTCATCGTCGCTTGCTTCTGTTCCGTGTCAGGGAATGGTCCTGCAAATTGTTGTTTGCCAAAGTCGTAGCCGTAGCCTTTGGTGCTGATGCAGTTCATTCTGCCCTTCTACCACAGCATCAGAAGATCAAAAAGGCCCTGGCCATGACCGACCCGATCCCCGGCATTGCTGTGGCCCGGTTATGCATTCGTGTTCAGCCGAATGCACTGCGAGTTTTCGAAGTTATTGCAAGGAGTGCTCTTGATTAGATTTGGTTTTGGTGCCGCTGCAAATGCTGAGGATCTGCCTGATGAGATGGCAATGCCGCGGTGGGAGAGCGTGCAATCCGCTGCCCAGTAAAACAACAGCTGGCCGCCCATGCTGCGAGTTTTTGTTCGAAATCGGCTTATTAAACTGTTCGGCTTCGGTCTTCGATCGTCTGCTTGATTAATATGTGCATGAACTCCAATGTTTCGATATATTTGCCGCATCAACAGGAGCATTCGTATCATGATGTTCGTGAAATCTCGTGAACATCTTTACAATTGTTGTTTAAATGCAATGACAATAATCAATAAACCATGAATGCTCGCACGAGACAGGAGACCCGAGACTGGAGTGCGTTGCTATCTGCTGGGGAGCGCCAGCGCTTGGCCTTCGCCCGGCTCTTCCTGATGCTGGTGCGATGTCCGGCGTTTAGGGTTCAGGGGTCTACTAAAGTGTAGGGGTTCAGGATTTGGGGTGCCAAACTCATCTATTGATGTTCGGGCCGGGTTTTTTTTTTGTACTTCTTGTGGTTGGGTTTCCTGATAGCCCCAAAAGCGAGCCCCTAAAAACAGTCCTGTTTCTCACTATCCTGCTGGTAACCAAATTTGGGGCTTTGCAGGTTTCGGGGAGTAGGTCTTCGAACTTCGGGGTGTATGGTTCAAGGTTTCTTGGGGTTCAGGGTTTATGGTATTCAGAGTGGGTTTTGTTTGGGAGCTTTCTTATGCGCCCGGAGGTGAGAGCTTGGAGCTTCCAGCCTCGCAGTTGAGGTAACCTGGAACAGGAACCGACGCGCAGCGCTAGTCGGAGAAGTGTTTTGGGGTGTAGAGTGTAGACTTCTCGATGGCCCCCTGTTGCTGTGTAATCAGGTTTGCGCGTGTTGTTTGGGCAATGGAAACTCGGGACTGGCGGCTATGTAAAGCGATGTGAGGGCAAATGGAGTTTCCACGAGCTTTCTTTTAACGGGTTAAAGGGTGGAATAGCAAGGACCCCCTAAGATGGAGGTTTGTTGGGATACAGGCAGGGTTTCACCCAAGACTGGGACTGCACCGCAGTGTGGACCCACGGAAACAAAAGCACATGACCTCTAGAATCACAAAACCAGCAGGGATCAGCTCCAGGACTAAGCTTGGGATTTAGAGACTTAAGCGGCCCCAACCATCGAGCCCCCTCAAATCCCAATCTATCGACCCTCGACGCTCAAAGTCCAACCCCCGAGAAGCCACCGCTCTGAAGCCACTAAAGCTCATGGTAGCGATGGCGAGTTATGCTGCTGATTGCTGTCAGCAGGATGACAAAAGGCAATGAACTTATAGGAGCTTGACAGGTGCAACACAGGCTTCGGTGCATGCGTGCATTCATGCATACCTACAGACATATATGGTGTGATATATACCACCCCTAAACCCTAAGCACTACACCCGAAATCCTATACATGCGGCGTACATGGCTTTGTAAAATACATAGATCCCATGCTCGACGAAGGCACTGCGTGGACGAAGCGAGGAGCGGCGCAACTCGAGCCCTGGCTGGATTGGGTGCTCGAACTTCAACTCTCCTTGGTGAAGGGTTATGGGTTCAGGGTTTAGGATGATGTTTGTTCGTTGTGAAATAGTGTTTGCACCGCTATTTCCCACTTCAACTCAAGAAGATATGATTGCTATCGCGACTTTCTTCCTGACTACCTGAGGCGGTCGTCCAATGGCTTCCACAAGGCAAAGAGCGCAACCCATCTTTCCGCTTCAGGCCCTCCTGGGTACTGGTAAGCGTCGAGACAATCGAGGGCGTGATCACGAATTCCGCTGGGGCCTACATACCCGGGGGCTGGTATGTATGTGTCTATCTGTCTGTTTACCTTTACCTATATATGCGCATACAACACCGCATAGTATAGCATGCGTGGATACATGTGTGCTTATGTGCATGTATATGCAGCAAGCTCGTCGTGGGCGCGACTTGAGAAGGCATCGTCTTCCCTCGTGTGGCACGGAGCTTCGGGAATGAACTCTACGGCGCCGGACAGAAGGAGCAGATCGTTGCACTTGGGCACTTCTTCCGTCTCATCAAGTGGTGAACATGTTTTGAGGATGGCCCACTGCTCGCCCCATCGCAGCCTGAAGCCAAGAGATTTGGAATCTTACTATAGGGGCCTAAACAGTTACCAATACTATTTTGGGGGTTCCTTATTAAAATTATAGTAACATGGGCCCCAAAACCGCATTCTAATTATTAAGGCCCCTATATTACTCTTGTGGCAGAGGGCCGCTGCAGCTTTGCAAGGTCACGCCTTCGATTCAACGAGCTCAAGCGCCAGTCTGCACTGAGCTGCTTGGCATTCTGCAGTCTGATCACACATGGGTGGTTGTCAAAATTATGGTCCCTTTTTGAGTACCCTAAATGTGAGGTGCCGTACTATATTAGGGATCCAAAAAGGGACCATAATTTTGGCAACCACCCACATGTGCTTAACACGCACTGGGGCTGGGGTTGCATCCAGCGGAGGCTTGGGCGAAGTTCAGCAAGCCTCTGCATTGTGCGGCAACTTGGCTGCCAACCATTACAGCATATGGAGCACCCTGCACTGCATCTGGTAGTTCTGCTGCTGTGCTGTTTGCGCCAGTGTGTGTCTTGAAGGTGACTTTCCGAGCACTGGCGTCATCGCTGTGCTGGACTGGGCAGTTCAAGTCCGCAGTAGAAGAAGCCAACACTGGAGACAAACGAGATGTGTCGATACCTGTCACGGATTATTGCTACGGCATGGGTCTCACTATCTAATGAATGAATATGGTAATATGGTCAATAATTGATGGTGACTGCACGGACAACCCGAATGATAATTTGAGCATCGGAGAGTACGGGGGTATTATGATCGCCACCATCACCACTCTCCTCATCGTGACCTCCCATGTGCTTGTAATGGGCAATGTCGTTTCCGTTTAGAGTACCACAGCTGTGATACAGTCCAAATGTGCACCATTCGCCGACAAACATATCTCTGCAGGACGAGAGCACCAGCGCCGTTGAAGTGAGCATGGAAGAGCAGCTTTACAAGGTCCGGACCTAGGTCGTTATAACGGTTTCGAATTTAGTGTAGCTTCCCAGCCTTACACCGCCGTAGCTTACAAGCCCGAGGCCCTAGACCCGCACCGACAAGAGCATAGCTGAATTTTGGTTTGGTCTGGGATCCTGAACAATGAAAGTCGGGCATTAATGGTTGGGCGCTTGAGTTTAGGTTTTAGGTTTCTAGCGTCCAGAATTTAGTTGTAAACTTTCAGAATAAGGCGTTTACGGGTGAAAGCCTTGTGGGGTTTCAGGGCTCGAAGCACGAAGTTTGCGAGTTCCAGGTCCCAGGTCATAGCACCCTTAAAGTGCCTGAAAGGAGTCCCTCAAGGGCCCTTAAAGTCTCGCAGGAGCTGCAGAAGGAATTGAAGCGTGGCTCGCTGAAGCTTGGCGCATCGTGTTTGACGGGCTCCGAGTGTCATGCAGGTAAGAGGGCATTAAGAATTGGCATTTGGGATTTGAGCATATAGTTGTATAAGGGCTACTGACCAGCCTTGCCAGCGGTCTTGTCGTTCGGATCCTGACATTCCTTTTTACTGGCATCTCACCGGCATGTTTAGACACATGTCCTAAACCCTCAACCCTAAGTGATGAAGAGGACGATGGAGGAAGATAGGCAGGGCAGCTGAGGATGATCATCAATGCTTCCCCTACTCAGCAGTCCTGTCATTATCTCTGTTCCAGCCTACCTTCCGTCATGAAGTTTAACTCTGACTCTTAGGGCTGGCAGAGTTCAACCCGACTTCGGAGGGCCAGGCATTCTTGCTCCGAGCGTACACTGCACTTGCCTGAAGCTGCGCGGCCCATGTGCAACTCTGAGGCTTGCCATGACCTCGGTGCCTCTGCAGAATTGTAGCCATGTCTATAAGAATATCTCTCTGAATCGAAACCCAAGATCTGCTTGGTATTGAAGACACATGTGCCTACGTTTGCTTATGAGTTGTTCGGTCTGTTTAGGTATTGAGCAATGTGATTCAATATGTGTATACCTCGGTCCTCGTCTACACACGGAGCCACACGCAAGCACACACAAAGACAACGGTAATACGTGTGTGCATATGTAAACGTGCCGATACATACATGCACAGGTGTATACACATGTATGTGTAGACTGCACACAGGTAAATCCCAGGTCAAGTTTGGATGCAGGTTCTGAGGTTGGACGGGGTTGTGGTTCCAACTTCAGCCGGTGCCTCTAATCCATGTAGACAGCGCTGTGATCGAACCGCAAGCAGACGGTATCATGCGCTACTTGGCGTGCTCTCCACCTGACAATAGCAATTAGCCATAGCATGCAACGACTATCTTGAGCATAGCAAGTAGTAGCAACATAGCATGACCTCTGCCCTGAACCCGCCAACCTCTTATCGATAGTACGGGTTAGTGACCAAGCATGTGTCGACCAGATCACAAGGTAAGCCACCGGCCTTCGCTCCCGAAATTTCACAACACGGAGCTTCTGATCGGAGAGCCGCTTCTTGGCGAAACATGCCGTGGCGGCGGTCCTGTTCTTCAGAGCCATGGACTCACTCTTTCCTTGCATCTTGTCATTCTGAGGGCAGTAAGTCAAAGAGCTTCACAGCCGGTGCTGCAAGAAGGGGTGACTCGGCAGGCAATTTGCAGAGCATGGGTCAGGTCAGCCTCAACACTGCAACACTGGCATGGGGGTTTACGGCTTAGGGATCTAGGGTATTGGCTTTAGTAGGGTTTAGGGTTTGAGGGTTGGGCTTTAGCAGGGTTAAGGGTTTGGAGCCCGAAACCCTAAACCCCTAAACCTGTAAACCCAAAACCCTAAACTCTGAACCCTTGCGCCTAACCTTAGATGCGAGGGGGAAAAAGGCGTTCAAAAAAAAAGCCGTTGGGGATATAGGGGTGCCTGCTCAACTTGCCAGGTGTGGCTCACACCTCATGGCAAAGAGGTCCCCTGGAAGCATGTGACGCTGGAGCCTGGTCCTGGTCAGGTCCCGGACGCCGCTGGTATTGCACGTCATATGGGGGGGGGGGGCCTCTTAAATAATTCCCGAAGATATTCCTGTTAGGTTTGCCTATTATGGCGATTGTAGTCGAGTCAGAGTACAAGATACCCAAAAAAGAAGCCCTGTTCTAGTTGCTTAGGCCCCTACATTACCCGGCTCCCGCATCCGATCGCGAGATCCTTTGGAGAGCGCTCCTCGAGCATCTCCAAGCAAGCCTCAGGGTTTAGGGTTCAGGGTTTAGGGAGCACATCCTCGCATGTTTGTTTTATATCTAGGATCTCCAGTAGTACCCTTATTCCCTTCTTGTAGTCCTAGGTTCCTTATAAAGTTAACCAATACCAAAAAGGGAGGCCTTTTTATTCTTAGGTTTCTGGGTATCCTAGATATTGTCTATACCTTTGACGACATGTTGTAATGCAAAATGAGATGGTAGCATATGAAACAGTATATTGGGTTGGCTTTCCTCGATGCGCCAAACACATCGCAAGGCCTCCCTGATTGAATCGATAATAGTTATAGTTGCTGAGAAAGTGAGGCTCATGCATTGTGCCGCTGAGCATCCGAGGCGACGGAGCTCTTTCGAACCGCCTCTGACTCTCAAGACAGCTCCATGAATTCCGTATGACGTCTGTCTGTGATATGGGAGTTTCCGAAAATAGGTGACCCTAATATACTACCCGAAATAGTAGGAACCTCATTATGAGGACCCCAAAATAAGGTACCCCAAATTTTCGGAAACTCTCATATATCCGAGATGCCTGCTGGCCTGGCTCTGGCATACAAAAAGATGGCCGAAACCACGACTGGAGGGAGCGTAGGAGTTGGCACTGCTGTGTTGTTCCATTTTTCTTTTGTCAGGAAATATAATGATGATGATAGCCATATCATTATCATTTAGATCAGATTCTGATGATACATTTATTGGGGCAGTGTACAGTATATAAGAACATTATTATCCTAGAAGTTGGTTGCGTCCGTCATTGGAGGCAAAGTCCTGTGCAGCGGGCGAAGAGCCCGCAGGAGCCGTGCTTCCAGAACTGTCTCATGCGAAATGAAGATGGAAGCTAGCGACACGTGCACTGACATCATCTCCGCACGGCAAGGAGCTGCAAAGCCGTCGCTGGGGCTGCTCACTCTTCCTGCCAGCGCCCAAGCAACCCCGCCGTTATGTCCAGCGGCGCCATGCGCTGCTTGATATTGGAACTTCCGAAACCAAGCGACTTCGCAGACCAGGGGAATGTCAGTCGATCAGCCGGAATCCACGGGCAGCTCCAGCAGTCCTGTATCGAATAGGGATAACGAGGTTGTGCCCGACACTGAAGCGGTGGCTCCAGCCTGCTCCGGTTCTTCCAGCAGAGAGACGTTTCATCCTTGCCGTGGGAAGGTGACATCGGCGCAGCCCACCTCAGTGAATGTCTTGCAGTCGGAGATGGTTGGAGCAGTTGCCGAGGCAGCTGTCTGATAGACAATGAGCATGCCTCGCGATTTAGGGCTTGTGGTTTAGGGTTTTGTCAAGGGCATGTGATTTCGAGGATCGTCCAGCAATTGGAGCTGATGCGGAAGATGATGACGATTCCGAGGACTACCGCATGAGTCACGGGCCCGAGTCCTTGGTACCCCATGCCATGCCAAGGTCGAAATAAGCTTCATAGAAGAGCGTGTGCCGAGTGTGCCCCAAACCCCAAGCCGTGAACCCTAAACTTACCCTATTATGCCCTAAGCCAAACGACCACTGTCTGGTATTACGCAGAAAGAGCAGTCGTAGAAGAACCGCTTCAAGCAAAAACGACAAAAGCCAGGACCTGGAAGTGGGAAGGTCGAAGCCTCTGTGTTGCAAGACGCTCGCATACCTCTTCAGTTGCACTACCCATAGCAGTTCCTGTTGGGGGTACATATTTACAGTTCTACAAAGTAATCCCAAGAAGGAACTACTATGGGGCCTTTGGGTAAACCCCCAATATGGTTCTGCACTGAAGCCCTTAAACCACGGAGAACGTAAAGCAATTGAGCAGAGTAGGAGGTCATCGACAGTCAGAGCATACATGCCAGGTAATTAGACTAAAGGGTTAGGTACGGCATCGGAAACATGTTTGGTGGGATTGTTTGCCCCTCATCGAAATGCCGGTGCAAAGACGTATTTTCCAAGGCGAAGGAGCGTTCGCGATGCCGGGTTCCCAGAGAGTTTGCTTTTGGGGCAGATGTTTTTGTGTTGTGGCCATGGTTGTGTGAATGTCATTATCTTGAGAAGTAGCATTGTTGTCGCGGTGTTGCTGACACGGCCCACTGACTTCGACGACCCCGACTGCTGCCGCTACCATGACCATTCCAACTAGCACGACCACGACTACTACTACCACTACCACTACCACTGCGACGACGGCTGCTACTGCTGCTCTAGCATATGCCACTGCTGCTGCTGCTGCTGCTGCTGCTGCTGCTGCTGCTGCTGCTGCTTTTGCTGCTGCTTTTGCTGCTGCTTTTGCTGCTGCTGCTGCTTTTGCTGCTGCTGCTGCTGCTTTTGCTGCTGCTGCTGCTTTTGCTGCTGCTGCTGCTTTTGCTGCTGCTGCTGCTGCTTTTGCTGCTGCTGCTGCTGCTGCTGCTGCTGCTGCTTTTGCTGCTGCTGCTGCTGCTGCTTTTGCTGCTGCTGCTGCTGCTGCTTTTGCTGCTGCTGCTGCTGCTGCTGCTGCTGCTGCTTTTGCTGCTGCTGCTGCTTTTGCTGCTGCTTTTGCTGCTGCTGCTGCTTTTGCTGCTTTTGCTGCTGCTGCTGCTTTTGCTGCTGTTGCTGCTGCTGTTGCTGCTGCTGCTGCTGCTGTTGCTGCTGCTTTTGCTGCTTTTGCTGCTGCTGCTTCTTTTGCTGCTCCTGCTGCTTTTGCTGCTGCTGCTTTTGCTGCTGCTGCTGCTTTTGCTGCTGCTGCTGCTTTTGCTGCTGCTGCTGCTTTTGCTGCTGCTGCTGCTTTTGCTGCTGCTGCTGCTTTTGCTGCTGCTGCTGCTGTTGCTGCTGCTGCTGCTGCTTTTGCTGCTGCTGCTGCTGCTTTTGCTGCTGCTTTTGCTGCTGCTTTTGCTGCTTTTGCTGTTTTTGCTGCTGCTTTTGCTGCTGCTGCTGCTTTTGCTGCTGCGTTTGCTGCTGCTTTTGCTGTTTTTGCTGCTGCTTTTGCTGCTGCTTTTGCTGCTGCTTTTGCTGCTTTTGCTGCTGCTGCTTTTGCTGCTGCTGCTGCTTTAGCTGCTGCTGCTGCTGCTGCTTTTGCTGCTTTTGCTGCTGCTGCTGCTGCTGCTATCCTGCTGCTGCCGCCAATACTGTACTACTGCTGACGCATGAAATGTAACTGGCTATCCCAAGAAATTTTAAGGGTTCGCTCCACCCAGGTCGTGTCTCACTTTGAGAAGCAGGTCTCGACGAGGACAGCCGACAGGTGTGAGCGAAGTAAAGCAGGGCAGCTTGGCGGCAGGCAGCTGCCTGTAGCCACTCTGAATGTGGGTTTATGGTTTAAAGTTTAGAAAATTGTTTAAACCCTGAACCCTGCATCACTGAACCCTAAACCCTTTAAAGGAGCCCTTCAAGGAAACCCTATAGATCCCTTTGAAGGAACCCTAAACCCCTAAACCCCTAAACAGAGGAGTTCTGCCTCACAGCTCTTCGTCACTCTCCCACCAGGCTGGCTGCCTTGAGGTCACTCGGTGTTGTCACTCGATACCCAGAGCGCCCAATACCGCTTAATCAAGGAATATACCTTAAATTATAACGGGATTCATGTTATGGTTTGGGCTATATTCTTTAATTAAGGAGTATTGGGCTCTCTGGGTAGCTCGATGGCCACGTGGGTAGGTCTCCAAAGTAGGGTCCCTTTTTAGGCTCCAAATATAATGTGGCACCCTTATGAAAAGGAGCCTAATCCTGAGAACTACGCAGGAGTTTCAGAGGGAAGGGATGCGGCTACCCAAAAGCTCCAGAATCATGCAGCAAAACCTCTTGATCCAGGAGCCCTCACAGAATGTCGGGAGAGTTGCTGTAGCCGGAGTGTTGCAGTATCCGTGAGATTCCCACGTTGCATTCGTCGTGAAAGGCACAAACGCAGCGGAACGGGCCGTGGATGCCTCGGTGTGACGTGTATTTGGACGTGCAAGTCCTCGTTAGCTATCCGCGGGCCCTTGCCGCTAATGCAACGCATCTTTGACACCCTAAACCCAGAAAACCTTCAAACCCTGAGCTCTTCTTGTGCCTCAGGTTCGACATGGTTCGACAGGAAAGGAAGCGATGATTTTGGTGGCCTCAACAGTCAAGTGCAAAAAGAAATATTGAACCGCGACTTAAAGCTTCAAGCCCAAATCTCCCCTAATCTTGATCCCCGCTCGTTAAGCCCCTAAATCTTTACACAGACACGCACAAAGACACACACAGAGACACACACAGACACAAGCACACAGGCACACGCATGTGTATATATAATCTGAGTTATACATGTGTACATATGCATATATTTTATTCGAGGCATTCAGAGGAGTACGCGGCTCTAATTACATGCGAAGTGCCTGGCGCAGAAATCTGAAGCGGCCCGCCTGGAATTGGACCAAGCGAAGCCTGCCCTCAGTATGCACTCAAGCGTGCACCCTCGATGGCGGGCCCGAACAAACGGCGCTATGCTGCCTGTGCAAAGACCAAAAGCCCAAAAGGGGCACAGCGAAGTGAAAGCTATTTACTGAAACATGTTCCGCATCGAGTCTGATGAGACAGACTACGAGCAGGACCCCACACAGAGAGATTCTGGCATCACTGCGCCACACTCTATTGCAGGGTCAATAACGGCACTCACATCTGCTCCATGAACTACCACGAAAGCATAGGAAGTAACAACCGAACCCAATCAGCACAGTCTTGCCCTTATCAATGACAAAACAGCCCGCAAGCATGTCTGACAGATACTTCAGTGCTGTTTGAGGGCTGCCATTCCCCTCCAACTCCAAGCTCAACTCGATCAACTTGGCAGTCAAACGCACAATGACAGCAGGCCGAAAGTTGTAATGCGACGAAATGTTGCGATCCTCAGGCTGCTTGTTTGCAAAGATCA